TTTTTTTTTTTATCAAAATACATTTAAAATGTTGGAATTATCGTTTTTCTCTTTTAATTTTTTTATGATGGGGGTTTAAGTTACAGTCAGGCCCTCCCTAAGGAAAAATATCCACCTCTGGACAAGTGGAGGAGAAGCATCCGAGCCCATTTGTAGTAGCTTTTAGTAGCCTGTTATAGGCCTTCTGTGAGGGAATCTGTTTCACTTGCTCTTCAACTTGGGATCCAAAAGTACTTGGTCAGAGCCTGACAGCGATCGCGGTTTGGCTCAAAATAGGCAGCACTTTGCAGCCTGGTCCATGTAAATCCCAGGCAACACGAAGCCCCGAGAGTTCCAGTTTGAGGCGAGGGGTTCTGACAAAGCTTTACGAGATGAAACCAGAGTGAGACTGTAGTAATTCATATCTGCGACTGTAAAAATGCGAAAAGCCAATGTTTGAGTTGGCGGTTGAGCCACATAATCCACCGTAAAACACAAAGTAGAAGAACGAGATGGTTTGGCTCTTCTGACCATGTTATTAATGTGGACAGATTCTCCCTTTTTCACTTTTTAAAGAAGAGGGCTTTATCTTATTCACCATTCACATCTATGTAAAACTATAGATGGTTTTATATTTACAGGTTTTCTGGCTCTTTCCATTCTCTTCTAATGTAAATAAAATAAACAAGAGGAACTCCTGCTAAAATATGAATATCTTTGTTGAACAGATACTGAACACCTGATTAAAATCCAGTGGTCAATATTTGATTCTTACATATTCAAGCAGAAACACAAAAAAAATACATCTTTATGCCTGAGAAGCTAAAACAGGCAGATGTTCAATACTTTTGTTCAGTCACATGACATTAACCCTTCCCATTAATTTTTCCTGGTTTACGTTAAGCTAGTGGGTCCTTACACATGAAGTCCACCTCTGTGGTAGCCTGTATGCTCGTGCATACTTGCAAGCCCGTCTGAATCCCCAAAATGGCTGTTCAAAACAAAAAAGTGTGGCACATGTCTGGCTCCAACATAAGCCCGAGGCTCCCTAACCCCGCGGTCCTCTAAACCAGCGGGGGCTGCCCATTCAGGATGTAGCGCACGCTGAGCGCAGTCCTCCAAAATGGCTGACGGTCTTCACCGCGGCGCCTGAGCCCCCGGTAACCCGCGGTGCTCTGAAAGCAGCGGGGCCCGTCTATTCAGCCCCGGCTCGCTTTTGTGTCGGCGCGGGGGCTGCTGTCGTTACCCCCAGTGCGACGAGCCGCCGACGCTTTTTTTCTAATGAGTCATTTTTATTCAGGCGATAAGGTCAGCTACCCGCGGCGGCTTAAAAGGCCCCGAGGAGCGCTGGAGTGGCAGCTATGAGAAGCCAGACAGACACACAGAGATGCACCAGCCAAACAGAGGGGAGGGGGCACTCCGCACTGGCATACAGTGAATAAATAAAGGTGTGTGTGTGTGTGTTGAGGGGGTGGGGGGACATAATAAAGAAAATCTGACAGAAATGGGGAAAGAAAAAGCACACTACATATAAAAGATAGGCTGAATTTCAAAAGATACATCCCTCCTGCCTCCCCGTCTGTGGAACTGGATGCCTCCTCCTGGTTCATTTCTTTCTGTTTTTGGCTTGATCGTCGACTGAGAATAGCTTCTGAGGCGCGTGTGAAGTTCAAATCTCCGCTGCTGGCTGACTGAGGGCTTCTTTTTTTTTTTTTTTTCCTACGCAGGAGCCCCGGTGTCAGACTAAGACATGGTGGCTGCCAGGTTCAAAACAAGCCGCTCATCTCCCTGTGCCCTCTCTCTCTCTGTATTGCTGTAGGTTTCAACACCAAACACGCAAAATCCCTCAGCTGTTACAGTAGAAATAAATCATCCAGCTTGGTTGGGATTTCTGTCAGCAGAAACAATAACCGTCGTTCCTGCCGAAGTTCCTATGAGCGCATGATGAAATGAATATTGATTGTGTTGTTTTTTTTTGTTTAAGCAGTGGTGGTAAACCTATTTTTATCCGCTGCTGAGACAATATTTCAAAAGCAAAAGGCGCGCCGCGTTCACGTGCACTGAGTAAAGGTTACAGCTCAACCGGGCCTTTTAACTGGACCATCATTCTTGTCCCGGTTTACAGCCTCGTAGGGATTTTTTTTTTCTTTTTAATGGGAAAGCGTAATCAGCCTTCAGTCCCATTTCAAAAGACAGCCATGGGATTTTATCAGCTCAGCTTGGCACCATATTGATGGGAAACAGAGCACTCTGCTGCTGTGGCTGCGCCAACAAAAGAAAAAAGAAAAAAAGAAGACTTTACCCACTGTGACATCTTTCATGCAGGCCCTGAAAGTGTCAGCGAAAAAAAAACTGCGGACAAATGCAGACAGAAAGGACCCGTTCATCTTTCTTTAAGCTTGTTGTCACCCTACTCTGTAAAACGTTGCACCAGCATTCAGAATCCCCTCAAGGAAAATATTCCCAAAAAAAACAAAAACTTTCACTTATACTTTTAAATGATGAACTACTGATTTAAGCTAGTCTGGTAAAAAGGTAATAAGATTTTATTCCAAACAAGAACCAGAAATAGTAGAAAACTCCATTCAAACTGATTTATATGATGTATTTACCAGTTCGTCTGGACATGAGACATCCCAGATGAGCAATGTGTGTCAGAACCAACCCTCTTTAGAAACTTGTCAAAGGCAATTTCAAGATGTTTATCTGGGACTGTTGCAAAAAAATGCGCAAACAGCACAAAATAAGGGACTATCAGACCCATTTTGTAGTTAAACTCACCACTGGAGTTAGTGCTTCCGTCCCCATCGAGCTGCCGTTTCTGTGCTGTCCTAAACTCCTTCAGGGAGAGGTAAAGCACCTTCCGCATAACCCGCTCCTCCGACCACGGGATCCCATCACTGTCATCCTGTGAAGATATCGAAAGAAGAGAAAAGGTCAGTTGATATACCATCAAACAGAGATTTAAAAGAAAACTGAGACAATTACTGCTTTTTCTATCTTAAAAGCATCATCGTTGCTTATGAACCTGTGGGGGAGATAATTTCAGACAAATAATGAGAGTTCAGGCTATAACTGAACAAAAAAAAAAGAAAATTCTGGACAAACAGGGCAGCCGTTTGTTGCTGAGAGTTTTCTTTATCCTGACAAATGCGCTGCAGTAAAGGTGTGACCACAGGTGAAGGTCAGTAAGCCCGAGAGTCCAGCCCAGAACAATGCCCCCTGGAAATGTCCATCTCTTTTTGCCAAGAAACACACACACACACACACACACACACACACAAGCTTGTCCTCTACCCGTTTTTCTACTTTACAACCTGCGAGGGGCCTGGAAAAATATTTGTTTGCTGCTAGATAAGCAGCCGACGAAAGCTGCAGCCAGACAGGAGGAATGTGGGATCTACATCACAAATTTCTCTGCCAAAGCAAACAAACACAGGAAACACAAATCTATCCCAAAGAGATTGACTGTGCAAATCCACAGGAAGTAAAAAAGCATAAGAAATAAAACTAAAAAGCTTTCATTTCTGTTCAAGCTTTGGGGGAATCCCTTTACATTCTGCCCTCCACCTCTCTTTTTTTATGACCTGACACCAGATTAGCATAACATAGCATTAGCTTGCAGTTTGAGGAAGGGCAAAACATTAGCATGACAACACGTAAAGGGCTCGCACAACCCCACAAAGCCTCCGCTGTGCCTTATGGTGCTGAATATGGAGGAAGCCGATGGAAAACAAAAAAAAAAGCTGCATGGGACGGTGGGTCTGTGTGTTGCTAATCTCTCCGAGCGAAACTGAGACAAAAGATGTTATTGTCAAAGAGGTCACAGAGTCACACACACACACACACACACACGCACAAACACACAGGGCCACATGCATACGTAGAGCACGCTCTCCTCCCAGGCACCGACTTCCATCTCATCCCCAATCAGCTTCTATGGCCGACCATAGAAAAAGCCTCAAGGCCACTTTTATATCAAATCAATTGCAAATGGCTCGGACTTTATTAAAACTCTCGTTTGCTCGTTCCGAGCTTTAACAGGAAGCTGCTCTAATGGAGGAGGCGCTGTTGGAGGGATCTTAAGTGCATGTCCGACGGCAACGGCTGCATGTTTTTTTTTCCCCCTCTCCCTCGGCCTGCTTCTGCTCTGGCAGCTGGTTTTGATCCCCGACGACATATAGGAACAAGCGAAATGTGATTAGGGGCGCGAGCGAAAACCAGAGGAGGCCGCGGAGGCCGGAAGCGGCTTTTTTTTCTGTGGTCCTGCCTTTTTGGCTGAATGGATGTCAGCCGTTGCTGCAAATGTGACAGGAGAACATGGCTGCCGCTTTGTTTCAACCAAAAGCCCCTCTCGTAGAACAGCTGAATACAGCTCACGTCTATCCAACTCTAGATGGGCTTTCATTTCTGCCAGACTCCAGCAGGACGCAGGGACAGACTGAGGCAAAGTGACCTGTGTCCAGCTGACCGAGGTCACCTGTGCTGGCTCAGCTAAAGAGCTTATAGGCATCACAAAGACATTAGCTCCACCGAGGGTACGCTAAGGACTCTCACCTCGAGTAAAAATGGAACAGGAACATGTGTAATAGATGTTGTAATAAAGATATCAGCCACGGTTTGGAGGGGCTGGTGTAATGAAGCTTACGTGTGTGTGCACACACACGTGTAAAACGTTGAAACCTAATCTAATCAGAATATCATGCATCCTCTCGCAGCCACATACTACAATGCAACCAAAATGACTGCTGCTCAAACATTCTTTTTTGTAATCTTTCTGTCATTGAGCACACAAACATGTAAGCTGGATGTGTTCTGGATTTTTTTTTTTTTTTTTTTGAAAGGGGGGGGGGAATCTCTCCTCTGATCTGTGCCGACAACTCAACAATAATACCGGCGTCACAACAGGATGTGCACAAGTACGTCTGCGTCTGACACCAAAGTGACACTTCTGAAGGGTTTCTGAGTCAAAACTTTACGGTGGAAACGAAAATAAACAGGAAAAAAAAAAAAAAAAAAAAGGAAAAAAAAGCTGCGAGACGACTCATCGCGGTGTGGTTTAAAGGTCAGATTCGGCTTCGCGCGCCGGCACCGCTTCATTACTCAATGGGATCCCTCCTCCATTTAGCTTTTCATCTCAAGTACCTGAGAACAAAACAAACATTTAAAACACTGAAGAGTTCTCGTCTTTCGTTCTCTCTCTCTCTCCTTCTCTCTGAGCAGATCTGTGTCAGGGTCCTTTGAGGATGAGAAAGGGGAGCGTTCAAATCTGAGTGCCTGCGTACGATGGAGACAGCCACGCGCACACACACACGCACACACACGCCAGCCTCTCGGTGCACCCCCCTGACAAAGGTGGATGGGGTGTATGTGTGTGTGTGTGTGTGTTTTTGTGTGGAGCGTGCGGCCCCTCATTACCCTGTCACGCGCGCACGCTCGCGACAGAGAGAGGTAGCGCAAGTATTCAATTATGCCATTTCCTCCTGTAGTTAATGTCATCTAATCCATTCTCTCGGTGTGTGCGCGTGTGCCAAAACCTGCTAGGTAAGCACCAATTACCAAGACAGCTCACTAGCACTCTTTTCCTCACGCGGTGGCACCAGGCCAAACCTACACCGACACACACGCGCACACACACACACATGCGCGCGCGGCATTGACAGACAGCAGATCTCATGGCTGCAAACATTCTCGTGCACCTGACAGCTAACGCACAAAAACACAACACACAGCTCCCCCCTCCAAAAACTGAGCACAGATTCACAGATTTGTATTTTTTTTTGTCTATAATATCATTTCTTCTTGTGTTCTCGGTGTGGTTCCCCCTTTGTGTGTGTGTGTGTGTGGGAGGAGGGGGGCGCAAAACCCTAAATATACATCTCTTTATGACCTCAGATGATCAATTAAATAAGATCCCAGCAACACAACTCAACAGCAGAGTGACTTCCTCTTTGACCAGTCTCTTGAGATTTCTATTTCTTTTTTTAAAAAAGGCCATAAAAAATCCAGCTGTCGGGGGGGAGGGGGGTAACAGAGGAAGACATCATCAAAAGAAATGCACAAAAATTCATTGCGTCCTGACATCTCAGTCAAATGCTGCTGTGTGTGTGTGTGTGTGTGTGTGTGTGTGTGTGTGTGTGTGTGTGTGTATGTGCGCGTGTGTGTGTGTGTCTGCTGATCTGAGGTGTTTCCCGGTCTCTTTCTACGAGGCCACGTCTCACACACAGAGCTACCTGGCACTGACACACACTTCTGTACCCTGAACCGGCTCCCGGCAGGCAGGTGGAATCCCACTAATGAGCGCGGGGACCTTTTCAGAGCACCTGAGACCGTGTAGGCTCGGGAGAAGCTTCGGGAAGACGGCACGCCTACTGTCACACACACACACACACACACACACACACACACCTAACAAGCAGCCATTCATCCGCCCTGCAACGACGGCACAAACGCAGGAAGCGTCACTTCATTTTTTCTTTTTTTCCCCATATTTCGAGATAAAACAAAGACCCTTTTAAAGGAGACGGCGGCTCCGAAACACAACGAAGAGACGTGGCCCTGCCCTGACGAGACCTCGGAATGAGAGCGATTAGATCTACAGCCGCGTCGTTCTGCATGACAACCGCGGGCGGTTCCGTTCCGTGAGCCCTGGTCTGGCTTCGGCGAGCCTCTCTGGAAGATGGACAGACCCAATAACCCCGGCCAGTGAATCTCATTTGCGGCGCAGTGGCAACAATGGACGCCGAGAGGAGATATTCCAGATCCGGTGCGAGACACAATGAGAGACAGGTACCGGGGTGTCTATTGAGAACTTGGAAACAATAGAAATCTCATTATCGACGTGAAAAATCAAATCTGACCGCTGGCGGCGAGGCCTCTCCTTAGGGACGGCGCTTAACTCTGCCACATCATTTGATGGAGAATTAATTTGGCACAACAATGCCACGTAGGAAATAAAAAAAAGAAAGCCTTTCCAAAACGCCCACCATCAGAAATTCTTGGAAACATGCATGAATGTGTTATCTGAAATACTGACTCCGCCGTGGCGGCTTTCAGGAACAAACGCACGCTGCTCTCGTCCCCTTTTCAGACCAGAGGGTGACAGAAAGCCAAGCCGACAGCGGTCGTGATGTCACTGTGGTTTAATCCGCACCAGAAACAGAAACCTTGCGATTGATAAGCAGGGGGTGATTCATGTTTTCGCTCAGGTTTACAGTCACCGCTCGTCATTTCCCTTTTTAAAAAAATCCTCCTTTATTTTTGCCACAATCAGTGATAATAGGGTGGCGTTTTCTACATCCTACATCTGCGTGCCGGTCCGGTGTGTGTGTGCGCGTGTGCGTGTGTATCCAGAACGACTGTTCCAAAAATAGTGCTGCGTCGCTGCCGACTGTGCAGACGTCAGAGGGGAGGAATGTGGGCCGCGCGCCAGCTGTGATCTGCCCCACTAAAGTGCAACGAAAAGCTGCCGCTCCGCCACACGTTTCCCTGCTGGAGGACGGGTTATTCTACCCGGTAACCGCGGCCTCTCCCCCCGTCCCCACGGCGACGGGCTGCCTTCCCTTCCATCTTGATCTCCGGTGCTGGTTAACCCGACACGTGGGCCCCAGGTGGCCCCCAAACTACCCTGGCTCACGGTTTTCCTCCTCCTGGACCAGAGATGATGACTGCCTGGATTTCGGAGGGCATCAGTAATCTGTAGAAAGGTCGCGACCGCCCGTTTGCAGATTAGGAATATTTACGGGATCCCAATTCCGGGCTGGTGGGGACGCCGGAACGCGCGCAAAGTATTAATGGGAATCTTGACACACGCTTCTGAAAGGCCCAAATTATGCCGGTCGCAATATTAGAGGGCTCGTCAATCCTGGGAGTTAAAAATAAAGGCGCAAATTAGACCATCTAAGCAGGCTTTTTTTTCTTTTTTTTTTGTCAGAGAAAAAATGATTCACTGGGACGAAATGGATGTTTGGAAAATGTTTTTTCAAGCCCAGAGCCAGCGGCTAAACCATGCTGGAGCACCCCGGTCCCGACCTTAGATCTGCAAACATCTGAGATAGCTGCAGGAGCGAGGCCAACTTCCTCTTAATACGAAGCACACGTTTACTCCCCCCCCCAAAAAAAAAGTACATTCCAGTCCTAACTGCATCCTGGTCCCCGCATCTCATCTGGCTTGGGGCAGACCGGATGCTGAGCTCAGCTCGGAGCTGGGAGGAGAGGCAAACAGGAGAAGCTTTTTCTGGGGACGGGAGGCCCTACATAATCGCCTCATTACAACGCCGGTTCACTGCATCGGAATGCGTGCAGCTACGGGGCCTTCCCCTTTAAAATGGTTGTACTTGGATAAACCCCAACAGATCTGGCGCATTTCCGTCTGCAGGAAAAGAGGAAAATAAGGAATAAAAAAAGAAAAAACTACTAGTCGTTCGGCGTGACCTTCTAAAGCACTTCCTGTTACGTAATCTTTCCCTGTGAGCGATACACAGCGTGAACAGCTAGTTTCGGTTTCCGGAACTCACCGGTGATGCTTCTGAAACTAGAGACAGCCAATCAGAATGAACCCTTTCACCCCGACAGACTGAGAGCAAACTCAAAATGCCGAATGGGCTAAAAGGAGGAGGAAAACACGAGGTTTGACGGTGTGGACGATGTTCCTGACAGAAAACTGTCAGCCTGGAGCGTGAAGGCCTTAAAAGGTACCGACGTGTGTTGCTGATGTCGGGATTTTTTCACGTGCTCCGAGTTTACTGGCTTTCCTTCTGGACAATAACTCTGGACAGAATTCTCGGCCAAGACACAAATCACCAGAGGGGCATTATCACAAAATGCCTGGCTCGGAACGACTGTTTGTCGGTTCAGTCGGTGCCACGCGGCCAAGAAAGTGCTGCGGAATCGCTGTCCCGGGAATTTTAAGCGCCTCGT